ATTTCTTCTCTTTATCTCTATCTTGGAACTGTGGCGGTGTGGGTGGGTGTGTATGTGGTGAGGATTGAGGGAGAGCCATAAATAAAACAGAGTTGTTGTGTACCCAAAAATGGTGAGTTTCCCTCATGTGTGGACCTGCCTTCCATAACAAATAAGCTATGTTTGGAAATGTGTTCCCGAACAAATAAGTAATGTTTGGACCTGTATTCCCAAACTTGAAAAAATAAAATTTCTACAAATGTTAAGAATTTTAACCGTTGACTTGCCATCATCCTGAAATAAATAACAATACAAATTAAATTTCAAAATGTGATCAGTAAAATAAGTCTGAATGTGTGAATAATGTTCGGTTACTTGTTTCCAAACAAATAAACAATGTTCGGGCCTGTGTTCCGGAATTTCAATCATATGTTCAGGAGTTCAGTCCCGAAAAAATGACGAAGAGATTTTATTATTTTTTCCATTTTTTTCAAGAAACTTACTCTTACAAGGCCAATCTCCTTTGAGTTAAGAACAACATCAAAGTCATGAATCTCTTTTAAGCTTTTATTGTTGTACTCCTCTCGTCTTATGGAGTGTTAGTTGCCAAAAAAACTTTTACTCATTGTCATTGCTGGAGAGGTGTAGGTAATCAAATGGTTACGACCGTTACCGCCAGAATATTGTCGCAAAACGGTTTTCAAGATTTTGAGGATAGGTAGGTTTTGAATGTGGGATTTGGGAAAGATAGATGGGTGATGATGGAGGTGGGTGCTCTCATAAATCCTAATTCATGATGTAGTGGGTATATAGATTTAATTGTGAGGTGGGGTGTCCCAAAATTAATGATGTCCTTTGTAATAATTTTACTTAAGGTTATTATTGTAATAAAAAAGAAGCTAAAAATTGAGGGGTCCAAAATAATTTATGGGGTGCAAATAGTAACACTCTTTTTTATTTTATTTTATTATCCTAACATCAAATTTCAATTTTGTCCCTATCTCTATCCTCCCAAGTCTAACGCTAACCTTAATCCCACTACCACTTCTATTACTGCTGAGACCCTCCGGCAACCAACCCACCCTTTGGTGACTAACCTACTATCACTTTTTTCTCCCGTCAACAGCCTCTATTGTCAATAAGCATGTAAGGTCTCGGTGTCCCATATCGGGAATGGAGGGAGAGTTCCTAAGCTATAAAAGTAAAAACCTAACCCTTATATAGCATCGAGGCCTTTGCCCGAGTGGTGACCCTAGCAGAACTCTCCAGTTAAGTGTGCTTAGGCTGGAGTAGTTCTGGGATGGGCGATCTATTAGGAAGAACAAATATGTGCGGGTGTGCTTCAAAGCGTACAATATTGATGATATGTGACGGGTTAGGGTGTTACAAATAGTATTAAAGCCGACTCTCTGGAGCACCGAGTGTGGGCCCCTGGAGTCTTTCGGTGCATGTGGGCAGGCTTGTAAGCCGGCAGTCTATTGCACGGGGACGTGCAACCTTAAGGGGAGTTGATTGTAAGGTCCCGATGTCCCAGATCGGGAATGAAGGGGGAGTTCCTAGGCTATAAAAGTAAAAATTTAGACACTTATATAGTATCGATGCTTTTTTCGAGTGGTGAAATCCTTAGTAGAACTCTCCAGTTAAGCGTGCTTAGGCTGGAGTAGTTCTGGGATGGCCGACCCACTGGGAAGAACAAATCCATGTGGGCGTGGCCCAAAGCAGACAATATCGATGACATGTGAAGGGTTAGGGTGTTACAGAGTAACCTAGATCATCTCTCTTTCGCAATCTTCATCTACATCCTCCGAAACCTACTATTTTTTTCTCTTTTTCATGCGCAACTCTTTCTTTCCCCGTTGATTTCTCTCCCCACCTTACAGTTTGGTCGATTTATCTTCAACTTGTTGAATATGTTTGGTGCTCTATAACCGAACTTATGCCTTCTGTTCGGTTATATAACATCGAACATCAAGCTTTTGTTCAAAATCGGTTTTCTGAATGACGACGAGAATGGCTGCGAAGGCAAAAAGAGAAGTTTTCTGAACTAGTTATCCTTTATCTTCAGCAACATCAATGTGATTCTATACAATGGAGGAATCATCTTTTGAACTCGGGCACATTAGACTTCCATTTTCAGCCCCAATTTGTTCAACATCACTATCCTTGTGATCTTCACTTATCATGGAATTTTTCGAAAATGGATCTTTAGCTATAAACCTTTCAATGTTGTTACATTCCTTGAGACATAGTTCACATCTGTTTGATACATCGAGAAAACAAATAGTTGCTTTGTTGCTGCTACTGCTATCGCTATCTGAATAGGTTATCGAAAGGGGAAGATAGTCAAAGTGGAAAGGGGATTGCTAGGGGAAGAAATGATGATTTGTAGGTGGAAGGTGTAAAGGTGGGATTCAAAGGGTATATTTAAGATTATGATAGGGGTCCAAAGAAAAATAAAGAGGGAAACAATTCAGGTGGTAGGAGGCCCAAAGTAAAAAGGTAGGAACATTCAGCCTCTAATTTTTTGCCATAATTTTATTACATCCAAAAAGTTACACCCCATATATTTGTAATTATTTTTTGTCATTAGAAATTGGGATCAAATAGAGGACCCCATTTTCTTAATCTGTTATTAGTAATTAAAATAAGGCCCCAACAAAAATTATTGTTAGGTTCAATTGAAAAAAAGATTGGAATGGGCTAAAATAGCTCATTCTAGAGTAAAATAATCAATAAAACAAAATATTTCATCATATCAATTTGTCTACTTTTTTTTGTACATATTTTGGTAAAAATCAAATAGTTAATTAGAATAGCATATATTTCTTGTTATAAAAATTTTACTAAACTATAAAATAACATGACAAATATATATATATTTAAATTCTTGTAGTGATTTATTCTCATCTTAATTTATGTAATTAAATTTGTGTGTAGATATTAGCTTTTCTTTTCTTTTCTTTTTTTTATTTATCATATTATTCAAATTTTTTGTTAGTAATATATAGAAAGATTCCCTCGTAGTAATTTGCCAAAGGTTCTATAAAACAATACGGACCGGCCTGTCCTGAGTGTAAACCAGAATAATTTGTTGACCATCATTTCTTAATTTGTAAATAAATAAAAAGAAAACATCAATTATTTATTGATTTAGTCATCTTTGTCCACATATAAGAATGCCTCAAGCAAAGATTTTATTGATATTGGTCCCGTTTGGTAGAGCTGTGAGAAAATGATTATAACTTATAATCTAATAGTTTATACCTTATAACTGTGAACATAAGCTGATTTTTTACTTATAAATTTAGCCTTTTCTCCTCTACTCAAAGAATAAATTAATTTTTAACTTACAAAAAATTATAAACTATATTATTAAATTAAACTAAACACATCATAACAATTTAAATTAAACTAAAAATTAAAATAAACTAAAAATAAGTTTTACCAAACGGGTCGTCTTCCGTCCAGAGTGGACCAAATGCTGACAAAAAATGAATCCATTGTGAGATGGTACAGTCTACTCTGTCACTGGGCCTCCCTAAAACTCGGACCGGGATGTGAGGTGGCGTGAGAATTTGTGTCAAATTTATTTTGATAATTTGAATATTTTATATTATAATATTTGTTAAGTAAATTAATTATAAAAAATTTAAATTAATTAAATGTGTAAAAACTTATGATTAAGTCTTAATTATTTTAAAATAAATTATTAAAATTCTATTAATTATTTATTTTTTTAAAATATAAATAAATATTAAATTAATTTAATTTTTACGAATTATTTATTTAACAAATTTTATAATATAAAAAATTTAAATCACGAATCTAGACTTGTGACCAGACTCCATAAGAGCATCTCCAACGATGAATCAGATTTTTCATCAAATCTGAGTAAAAAATGACTCATTTCACCAAATTTGGTACCAGATGCTCCAACGGTTCACCTTTCACCAAATCTGTCCCGGGACAACCGGGTGGTCGACCGGTGAGAAGAAATTTTTTTTTTTTTAATTATCTGAACCGTTTTTGTTGAACTTTCTGAACTTTTTTCGGGACGACCGGATGGTCGACCGACCGGTTGACCGGTTAGGAAAATTTTTATTTTTTTTGAACTGTTTTTGAACTGTTTGAATCTTTTACTGGTTGACCGGTTGGTCAACCGGCCGGTTGACCGGTTACCGGTTGGTCAACCGGCTGGTTGACCGGTTGGTATCAACCCAACGGTCAGTAACAGTGATTTGGTGAAATGTTTCGCTTGTTCTCAGTTTGATGGAATGTTTGGTGAAATCTCATTTTGATATCAATTTGGTACAACCGTTGAAGCATCAAACAGTAACCTTTCATCAAATTTTAAATTTGATGCTGGGTTTGATGAACTTTTGGAAATGGTCTAAGCCCCACAGATGTGGTGTTATGCATCAACTCCACTTCACTTAAAATAAAAAAAAATAAAAAAACTCTAGTCAAATTTAAACTCGTGACACGTATACAGTAAAAATAGCAAGTCCCCACCCCCACACACAACACGGACAAATCTAATTCCCATGCAGATTGCCAACTTTGAGTCTTGATTAACCACATAAATTGGGGAAAAAATTCAGTGCAACGATTAAAAACGACACCTCAAAAGAGAATTAACCTTCCAAATTTTAAACAAATCCCTAATAATTAATTTATAATGCTAAATGCATAAAATATATATATATATATATAGAAGATCGGTGATTTTTTTAATATTGTAACTATTTTTTTGACAATTTTTTTATAATTTGTGTAGGTTTTTTTTTTGAGTCTATGGCTTTGTTGTATTTTTTTCTCTTTGTTTATATGCTGTTTGTTTGTTTGTATTATACACAAATTGCATTATCAATTTGTCACTCTTCTAAAAATGAATAAATATAAAAAGTGTAACTTCATTATCAATTACATAATTCACTTTCTGTATAGTTCAATTTTTGAGTTCTATTCTTACAATCCTAATATTGTTGATAATTAATACAAATGAAGTATGAGTCAATGTATTCTTGCAACGATAATACTACTTTTATTTATTTATTTATTAATCACATCAACTGCCATCAATAAAGTACACAATTCAACCTTACAATTGAAGTAAAATAACATTAAATCACACCTAACAACATAATTTTGTTTACTTTTAAACATTCACATAGACTAGTGTTCACAATTAAACATTAACACTGTAACACCATTGCAGAGAATTCTGTTCCATTAGATACATACAGAACAAAATTACGTTGCAATATTATGGCGGATGTGACGGAGAATCACTGGGATGACGACATCCGGCGAGCTAAGTTGCGGCAAATGACCCTCGGTCGACATGACCTCAACGATGGACTGACCGCCAAGGTGCTGGTGGAGGTACTCCGACACCACCACTGGCACTGCCAAGTCCTTCATGCTTTGTATTATGTGACACGGCACGGTCACATGTCCCAGCATATATCTATAGTCACTTTGGAATATGGTTTGAGCCACGCTCAGTGCTATGTCTGGCCTCATATTGAATAAAGTCCGACTAAATTCTTGCACTGCCACAGACTCCATATCTCCTCCCACCGCCAATGGCGCGAATCCAGAACACCACGCCTTGTAATTCGATGCCATCGCCTCGAATAGCTGATTTAGATCTTCTTGCTCAAATCCCCCATAGTAATCCACTTCGTTCAAATACCTAAAAACAAAAAAATCAAATTAAAGTTAATTAAGGACTTTTTCACAGTTGAAGATTGTTTTGACAATGCGTTAAAAATATTAAAAAATCACTTTAAAAAGTTATTTATTCTTTCTATTTTTATACATGTATTTTTATAAATTAATTAAAATAATCGATTCCAACAACAACCCTCATTGCGGGAGAATTTGATTGTTATACCTTGGAGAACCGGAGATCATGATGAGTTTTGTGAAGAGATCAGGGCGGTTGACGGAGGCGATGGCGCCGATGACGGCGGAGACAGAGTGGCCGACATAGATGCAGGATTGGACTTGAAGCTCTTCTAAGATGGCGAGAACATCGTAGGCATAGCCTTCGAGAGTAGAGTATCGATCGAAATCGAAATAATCGGGGTTGGTAGTACCAGCGCCCATGGTGTCGAAGAGGATGATTCGGTGATCGTCGAGGAGGTGAGGGACGAGGTGCTTCCAAACTGACTGATCGGTGCCGAAGCCATGGGCTAGGACGATGGTCTGATTGCCTGAACCCAAGATCTTCACGTTCTGAGCTTCTTCAACTATTCCCATTTCGATCAATTTCTGAGAAGCTGATGATTGTGGTTGTAAAATAAACTGATGTATTATTAATTGATGTATTGATTTGTTTATATATTTTGTACAAGAATTCCTATTATATAGGAGATGATTCTGGAGTAGGTGAGGAGTGAGTGGTGGAGGTAGGTTTGGTGGAGTGTAGTAGGTGATAGGAGTAGTAGGTGGAGGTAGGTTTGGTGGTAGGTGTAGTAGTAATTTACATTTACATTAACAGTGGTGTTGTTTTTGGTTTTGAAATTTTTTTTTGTTTTGTTTTAGGCAGTGGATACAGTTGGATAGGGGATGATGAGCACCACATGTAGTGTCCAAATAAATGCTATATGATGATAAGACAATCGGGAATATGCAGATTTATAGATAAAGTACGAAAAATTATGTAATAATTTCAAAATATTATGTAGTTATATTTTAAATTATCAATGATTTAATCTTATATTATTTTTTTATTTTCAATATAAATAGTAAATTCTTATCTTTCTTTATCAATTAAATTTCATAAAACATTACATATTTATATTTTGAAAATACCAAATAATCACCAACTTGCATGCCAAAGAATCAACTGAATATCATAGGTCCCCCGCGAAGTCATTCCCGCTGTGGGCCAACATAAGCTTTGCAGCCCGACTGACCTAACTAGGATGATTACATCATATTTTGATTAGTTTCTCTGTGTTTTAATAATTGGCACTCGTTTTGTAAACAAGCTACGGCTTTCACATTTGTTGTCATTGTAATAATTACATATAGGACGACAAACAAAAAAATATTAAATAAGTAAATATGATTATTACAGTAATGGGATCAGCACGTAATTGATGTACTTACGAATCAATAAACGTTAATTTGATCGGTTAAAATTCCTGCGATTCATTAAGAAGTCAATAATTTGAATCTTTTTATATGTATTAGCGTCTTATTTCTTGTGTATTTATTAGGGGTGTAACTTAGGCAGCTCAATCCGAGCAATTTGAATCCAACTTGAATTTTTTTAAGGTTTGGATAAGATATTTTCAAATTCGGTACGGGTTTGGACAAAAATTTAAAAATCCGAATTAAATTTGAACGGGCTTGGACAAAGATGTCAAACAATCCGAGAAACTCGAAACCCAAATTATACGTATATAGATATATAAAAATATTAAATATATATAAATTATTAGTCATTATATAATATTAAAGTAATTTAAATTATTAAATCATATTGAATATATATTATATATACAAATAACATAAAATCATTTTTTTTTTAATTTTTATTTTCGCTCATAAATTATAAAGACTACTATGGCGGCATCTCTCGTATATTATACAAATTATTTATTTTGGTGGTATTAATGATTATTTATATTAAAAAAAATGTAAATAGAGTCAAATTTTATAAATTTAATAATGTAGCTGTAAAAAAATAATAATAATAAATTGAATTTTATTTACAATTCAGGTAACTCGGGCAATTCAGATTTAACTTGAGTCAGGTTTGAGCAGGCAATTTCGAGTTACAATTCAGACATAGGCGGGCCTGGGTAGATCTCAACAGAACTTGAATTGGACTTGGATAACCTCCCTAACCGATCAAACCCATCCGAGTTGCAACCCTAGAACTTATTAACGCTTTTTCAACGCTTTTTTTTATTAAAAAAAAATAATGGAAGAAAAGTAGACTTACTAATAAAAAAATAATATTTTAAATATTTACCAACTACATTAATTTTTTAATAATAAATTTATTCTAAAAAATTGAAATAAAATAAAATAAAAGTACTTTTAAAAGGAACAGGGTTCTTACTGTGCTTAAAGCACAGCAGTGATTATGGTACCTCCGTTTAAGGTGTATTATGGTCTTATTTTTATGATTTAAACCGTTCATATTGTAGGATTTGTTGAGTACTTTATGCCTATCAAAGATCATATTAATCAGATATCAATAACTATATGATCGAATCGTATATTGTTTATACTATTTTTCAAAAGAAAAACTTATTATTTATTTTTTTAGTTATCGATCATATAGTTTTTGATATCCAATTAATATGATTTTTGATAGGCATGAAGTACTCAACAAATCCTACAAAATAAAACGATTTGAATCATAAAAATACAACCATAATACACCTCAAATAGAGACACCACGGTTACTGTTGTGCTTGACCCCACTTCCCTTTTAAAAAGAGAAGTGATTGTCCGTCAACCCTTTGATCAGATGGCAAATAGTAACATTGGGGGCTTAGCTTTTGGCGGTGTGCGGGGGGATTCTATTTACATTTAAAGAATTATTAATTAATTTTTAACTATATATTATTTAATTATTTAAAATTTTATTTTACTATCATTACACCTTATTATTTTTTTTCAAATTACCCGTCAGGTAAACTAAAATAATAAATAACAAACAAACTTAAAAAAATCAAATTATTTCCAAAACTTTTCAATACAAAAAATAATTATCAAATATAGAAAAAAAAAATCAAACTTATAAACACATAAGCATTATAAATACAAAAAAATCAAACTTTTATATTATAAATTATCTATAAGAATGTTCTTGGAAAAATAAAAACCAAACTTATAAGGACATAAGCATTAGACACTAATAAGAAAGAGTAGTTCTCAAATAATGTGCCATTTAAATGACACAATAAGAACAACTCCAATAATATATTATTATTAATCCAATTATTGGTCCTTCAATTTTTGTCAAAGAAAAAAAAAAGAAATAGAATATGATTGATTGTGCTATACAAAAATTGTGAAATCCTTTTATATGAATACTTACCTCATTTTTTATTATTATTCTCATCCATTATTTGATTTTGTTTAAACTTTTTTCTAGGGTATAGAGTTTCAAAATAATAAAAAATAATGATGTTAATGATGATGGTGAGTTTTGCTAGGGTGAATTGTAGTTTTGGAGGGAGGATGAAGAAGAAGAAGAAGAAGAAGAAATAACTTTAATCTCTTGCGGATCTCTTGGAGAAGAAAATACAGAGATTTGAATAAGAATAATTGATTAGGATGTATTATAAGAAGAATTTTTTATTTTAGGATTTAATATGTGTTGTCATTATTAGTAAATTCATATTATGATATAATAGAAATTAAAATTTATGAATTTAAATTAGACGTACTGAAACATATTTTAAATTCAAATAAAATTCCCCCTTGTGTGAGTAATGCTGGAAAATTCGCATAAAATTTGTCAATTTTTTCAATGATTAGAAAATAAATTATAAATGTTAAAAAAATTTACTTTTATAAAAGAAAATTCAACACAAATATTGGAAGGCCTATTGGTTGCCGGATCAATTGTATAAGGAGTCAATTTTTTGAGGCCGCATTTTTAATTTGTGATGTAATTGGGATGTCCCTTTACAAGATAATGTTTATTGTTATACATAAAAAGTCTTCCTCTTTTTTATTTTTAAAGAAGCCTATGGTTTGCATAATTTTTTTACTAAGCTATGTTTATACATCATAAAATAAATAAATAAAAATTAAAAAAATTACCATTTTATGGCACCAGTACTAGTGACAAATTATTCTTCACTTTGGAGGATAAAATAAAAAGTACAAACACCGTTATCATCTCTTTATATCTCATATTCATGCAAATACATATCACATCCATATTTCAAAACGCAAACTCCATATTTCTTTCAATCAATCAATTCCAACAAATTCAGTCTCTGTTTGGAAAGATAGGTTTGGGACTTTTTTTGGTTAAAATACTTATAAAAAAATAAAATAATTTTTTTAGTCTAATAAGATAAAACATCACATTCAACTTATAATTATTACATTATTTCTTTCACAAAAGTAAAAAAAACCAAGAAATCCATCCTAAATGAGGCTTTTTAGCCTTAGGCTAAAATAGTCAAAAAGTCCTAAAATCAACCCACTTCCCAAACGAACCTTAATAGCATGTTTGTTTTGAAAGATAACACCATGGGATTGGACTATTAGTCCGGATGAACTAATTGTCCGTTGTTTGGTATGCATTTTTGGTCCGGACAAATAATCCCCCCGGACTGTTAGTCTCATATTTGTGGGACTATGCTATCCCATGGGGGGTGGGATAACTCATCCCATGGGATTAGCTATTAAAATTATATTTTTGCCATCTGACATTTAATTATGTATTATATTTAGTAAAATTCAATAAAATTTAAATGTTTTAATTTAAAAATAAAATAATTTTATTTAATTTTTATTTTTGTTTTATTTATTTAATTTTTTAAAATAACTTTTTATAGATATTTTATTGATGTTTTATTTTAGAATTTTGTTTATATTTTATTTAATTTCATTATTTAAATTTTAATAGATGTTTTATTTTATTTCATTATTTAATTATTATTATTATTATTTGAAATAAATTTATTTAAAATTTTAATTAAAAAATAACATATATTTTTTATAGATATTTAATTTATTTAATTTTTTAAAAATAAATTTATTTAATTGTGCAAAAAATAAAATAAAATAGATTTTTATTTAATCAAACTAAATAGTTCGGGGACAATGTATCCCAGGACTAATAGTCCAATGGATTACAATCCCCCCTTATCCAGTCCGTCCAAACAAACGCACCCTCAAGTCAGGTTTGATTCACATGATTAATAGTGATGTATTAATAATCCTATCAAATTAGTGTGGTATTTACTATCCCACCCCTACCCCATTATTAATAATCTTACAAATTTGTTGGATTAATTATCCATTGGATTAATAATTCTAAACCAAAATGTAAAACAAACATAGGAAAATTAGGCGTACGGATTAATAATCTCAATCCCATCCTTTAATCCTTCCAATTAAACATGTTCTAAATGTGTATGTGTTTCTTGATATTGATATATGATTAATCACACATGAATTTGAGAGATTAATGTATTATTTTTGTATGTATTAACATGTTCATATTTTGAAGTTGACTGATTCACTACTATCTAACTAATTTAATTAGTGTATTAACAATTAGGGCAAAAGGCTGATTTTTAAGTTTTCTTTTGTAGTTTAGTTTGCTGTGGGTTTTATATTTCAAATAATTAATTTTTTTTATAGGACTAAGGTTTGTAGTGTCAATTGAAATTTTTTTAGTTTATTTTGGCTTGGGGTAAGACTGCGTTGTAGACAAGAACAAAACATCGCGAGAGTACTAGCGTAAGTCGTAGGGCACAATACCATGTGCGAGCGACTATGATGCAACCTCTGTCGAGATTTTCCCAAAGAAAATGATATAGGAGCCACACAACACAAGGTACACCTTATGAAAGGTTGCTGTCAGTTGTCAATGTGGCGGTGACGACCTGTGGCATGCTAGTATGTTGTTATTTTAGACAATTATTACCGGCCCATAATCGGCA